TTTCAACACCGCACAACAACAACAACAGAAAAAAAAAGTCGCTTCGATTGGGTGACGATGTAAATTTCATTCTAATTGTACTTTAGCACAATATGGCATATGATCGAGCAGACGATTTCAATTATCACAAATTCATATTTTTGTTTTTTCGATGAAATTGTGCGCATTTCACTAATAACCCAACTATATATATATATGTCGTCGCGAGTCTGAACTACACGCACCCATTATGAGGTTCGACACACGCACACATATCCAGCGAAATACATGAAATATTAAAAGCCAAACCGAATCTATAGTTATCATAGAAAAAAATATGGAACAATATATGTGGCAATCATCATGATAATGTCAGTTATTTATGGATCGTGCGCATGATTTGATTCCGTCAAACTTTTAATAATATGATAATTAAATGTCAACCGCTGGAGGAAACTAGTGAAATTTGATCATTTAGTTGTAACAAAAAAAAAAAAAAGATTGGCCAACTGATGAATGACTTGCATCAACATTTGCAACGCTTATTCCACAAAATCGAAAATTTTTCATCGAAATGCACTTGATTATCGAATGTAAAGTGTGCTAACTATAATGTGTTGACACTGACAAAGTAGCACAGGAACATGGGAAAGGAAAAGAACTGGCAAATTAGCGACTGGTGTTAAAAATATTATTTTGCCGTCAATGACAAATGTAGCAATTTCATCGAAACAGATGTTAGCACATTCATCCATTTTTTTTCGTTCGATCATACATGACTTCAACTTTACACTTATGAAGTCAGCGGAAAATGTCAATAAGTACAAGGCGAATACGGCGCAAATACCATGAATCGAACCCAATGAAATAGAAACAAAAATAAAAACCAACAACAATGAAATCGATTCGGGGAAGCCATTCATTTGCTTTGTGTTCATTCGGCTAGTAGCGGCGATGGAGACGGTGGTGGTGGTGGTGGTGATGTGCCTGATTTTGATTAGGAAACTCATTTGAAAATTAACAATATACACCAAATGCCTTATATTCCAATAATATACACACTTATCGCCTCGCCGATATATAATGAAGAGAAAATAATTGAACGAACCATGTCCGTTTTCCACAAACGAAACAAACGTTACTTCGAAGCTGAATGGCTCCTGTAATCAACGGAACACGAATGCGCCTCAATGCGATTGTCAAAGTCAACGGAAATATCATTCTCTTTCACTTTTCCCTTATCGACTTTTATTTGCCGTGATAATTTCTCGCCACTTCCATTACGATAGTACACTTTTTTATCATATCGTCTACATAATGCATTGCATGCGTCTTGCCGCTTTTAATGGTTGGCTTTGCAACTTGTTTTATTATACTCCATATAGGCTAGCCACACATCCTATCGGCATTGTATAGTGCAACGCATGTTCGTCTTACTTCTTTTTTTCTCTCCGACAGGCAAAAACGATTAGGAAGCAAAAAAAATGCACTCCAGAAATTAACTGTACTGTTTAATCAACAGTAAATACGTAAAACAAACAATCAATGGCACTTAACCTCGTTGATATTCAAAGAACAACGTACGAATGAATGCACTTAATCGATTCACTTTTGATAAATGACACTCAAATCCTACATGTTAAGTAGAGAAAAAAATGCATTCTGCAATCAGTCATAATAACATGATATTTTTACCTTTCTATTCGGAATCAAGCGACTTGCTAGGCGACTAGTTCTTGATGTAAGATTATCGCGGTTAATTTTTTTTTCATTTCTTTTTAGTTTTAAATGAAACGCAAATTGTAAAGTACAATAACATGCTGAGTAAAAATAAATAATGCGCCGTCGTATCATCCATTTAGTGAGACAATTGTCATTGCTTTTTTGGTTTCGTTTCGTTCCATTTCAATTCAGTTTATTTGGTTTTCAAAACATTTGATACTCAGCACTTTTGCTGTTTATTTCATATTTAATTACATTGGCCACGTGAATTGAAGGCATTAGGGTCGACCGTATGATACAGTTTAATTTAATGAATAAATTACATAGATTAACGGCAAACGTTGTTTACTCGACTCTTCGCACTCTATCGTACATCCAATTTAAATACAAAACCACACTGTTTCCATCTTATCTGGCGTTAAGCAGCTCATATAAAAAAAAAGATCGTTTGATCTGCGCATGAAAATTGCATCGATGCACCACTCGTTAGATTTATTGCATTCTTTCTATGGGTGGCTGGTACACGTGGGTAGAATAATTGAAGAAAGTCGTGTATTTGAAAAGGTGGCACATTGTCGTTACAGACAGACATCGAAAGAGGAGAGAGAGGATAAAATGGAAAATTATAAAGAAATAATATTTATGAAAAAAAAAAATCAAATGATACGTAGCGTCTCTGTTGTGACGAACGATGGAATTGCATACGGTGATAGTGAGTGGCGCATTGTGTTTGAGCCATTTGTGTGCGTGTGCGATATGATGTGTCGACTTGTTGGTTTTGTTATATCACTATTTGCTTAGCTAGTGGCTATCAAATGAACGTATTTGAAATGTTTTTTTTTTTTGAAATGTGTTCTTAGAGTGCGCATTTCACATATAAATGTCAAATACGGCCGATAGAAAATATGGAAATATTTTAACAATAATTTCAATTCATTGTGATTCAGAGTCAATGTGACACGAATCAAAAAAGAAAAAGAAGACACCGGTATACACGAGAACGGCGGCAGTAATTTATTGAAATTATTCTCGTCCCATTGTATAACCATTGAGTCGGTTCTTTTGTCGTTTAGTTTTTTATTTTCGAAATGAATTTAAAAAAAAAATCACAATTCGTTCATTGTGTTTGCTTTGAGAATATGATTTGAGAACTCGATTTTTCTCATTTTCGAATAATGGATATAATTGGGTTGGCCCATTGTAATTTAAATTCCATGCAAGTTTTGTCGCCAACATCAAAATGCTCGAATTTCATACGAATTAACTGAAAATTGCTTTGATTTCGTTTTTGGGTCCATAGAACCAGAACGTGCAAAACGTGGGCCTAAATTATGTATAGCTTGCCTGTTTATTACACTCGTAATAATAATGAACGAAGAAAAAAAAACACACAAACACCAATTTTCACAATAATAGTTTATAATTTAGTCGTGTTTCGTAAGCCCGTGCTCGCTCATGCCGACGAAATAATTTTAAGAGCTCAAAATCAATTGAAATTATGTAAAACCATTAGTCTTAGTCACTATTTCAACATATTCTTGAAAAAAATACCGTTTTTATCAGATTATTTGTAATGAATTTATCAGTAAATGCTTGTGTGTCGACCAATGTTCCGATATGGAATGAATCAGATGATTTCTTCGAATGAAGAAAATGAAAAAAACGTAACGAAAGACCGCATACACGATCTTCGGCTGATGCAACTTTCGTTGAATTTAAAGTCAGAATGTACCCATTTCAAATATCCTTACCATGCGGCATGATTACCAAACACAGTACACAGTGTACACGCAGCCGGCAACGTTTATCCCTTCCGAACACACACATGTACGCACAACAGCAACAGCACAGGACACGGATGTACGTGTGAGGGGAAACCAAAGCATCGAAAGTATCGTTTGGCGCGTTTTTTTTTCTTCAGTTGGTCGATTGTTCTTTTACATAGAAATGCGATTAGTCATTGCCATTGTTTGGCAAACGTCGAAGAAAATGTAATATCATACAAGAGTCGGCGATAGATAGAGACAAGCACAGTGCAAAGGTGAATAAGTGAACCCGTAGAAATGAACCAAAAGGAGACTTTGACAAGAATTCTGATCGAAAAGAAAATGAGCATGTCCATGATTGATTATCAGTGATCGTTCGATTTCGGACGAAATTGGAACAAAAAATGAGAAAGAAACGACTGAGTGTGTGCATTGAGAGTGAGTGTGCTGCATTGCATATTTAGTACACCAACGTATTTTATTGCATTGAGTATTTTACTTTCAATGATATTATTTTTAGATATGGTGCCAAATATATTACGTTTTAGACGTCACTCCATTGTGAATTGCCTCCAAATATACAATCAACGTAGTTTATTGCTTAGTGGCGATCGGAGAAAGGCCACATTTCCGTCTTCTTTTTCGACTTGAAAAAATAAACAAACGAACGATTCGCTTCAAGTGCAATATATTGTTTGCTTGGTTGCTTTCTTCAAATGTGGTTGCACATTAAAAAAAAACCATTTCTTTCTCTCTTCCATGACGATAAGTGATTTTTTGTTTCTTTCTGTTGAAAACACACACAGACACATGTACGGTAACCTTTCACACGCACATGCTCCATTCTCAACGCTCGTGTATTGTACATACACTTGAATCCAGCACAAAAGCAACGAACGACGACGACGACAACGATGCCGACGTCAAACACAAAAAAATTGCACAAATTTGCCATACCACGTGGCGGGTGGTGGATATTGAGTATATATAGTAGTAGTACGCAACCGAGCTTACATGTGAAATGTAGCAACTGAATCGACCTGAAACACACTGATCTACGTACAATTGGCTCGAGAGCTATGTTTATAAACAATGTGAATGCGCACAAAATATTCAAATAATTTTCGGCATTACAAAATTCGGGTTTGACCAATTCGTTTTCGAAAATATTTTCTCCTTACTTCTTGTTTACGACACCAAATCGAAGAAGACAGAAAAATTGAAATATTTTCATTCAGCCGGTCATTTATTTGTCGTAAATGCGTTTGTTCATTAACATCACGTCTACATATTATCGATTTTAAAATGAAATGCCGAAAAAGATTTTATTTTTAGGAACCAACTAGACTACCTCCCGCTCTCACTCTTTTCTTAATAACGAGCGATTTGTATGCTGAATAATTGTGTCAATCGATACAAACAGCGCCGACCAATGAATGAAAACACACTGAACAAACGGCAATCTGAGTATTTGCACAAAATGCGTTTTAATTCGGATAAATGATCTAAATGTTTCAATTCATTAAAACGTACCTCGGTGATGCGAGAAAAACAAAATTCAATCTTCGACTCGGGAGTTTTCGGTTATGAGCAAACTTCAACAACAAACAGATGTCTGCTTTCTTAACAAGGTCACAAACATCTAACAAATATATTTCTTTTGTACACCTGTCTTTTTCTTAAGATTCTTTTTATTCTGACGTTGTACACTCTTTTTTTTCTCTTCAGCTCACAAAAGGGAAAAATTCGTAGTATAACACGTAAAGCACTCAGTTAAATTCACTTGAACGATTTTCGTTGATTTCTATTTTTAAATTTGCAAATTCATTGCGATTCTCTACTCTCGGTTAGTGTCCTAAAATTACACTTTTTGATTTATGTTTTTTCAGATTTGACCGCTGTGCCACAACGGCTGGACATAGGAAAATTGGTGCTGGAATCGCAAGAGAGAGAGAGAGAGAGAAAGAGAAAACAAACAATAACTGAAAAACCGGAATGGATCGGCCGAAAGAGACTATCTTACTACTTTTAAGCGCATAATGCGAATGAATTTAACAGCAACGTTTCTATTGAATATACCCAATAGCCATACGGCGAATGTACGGCTTGTGTTTCCTTCGTCACTGAATTTGGTGAGCCACCGCTTACACATGTGCAATCATCATCATCATCGTCATCATCGGCAGACGAGAGCGGTTATGTGTGTATTGGGCTGATACGATTCCGACAAGATTTCAATGACGCTGACATTTTGTGCTCGTACTATACACTGCGCTCGATGACGACGACGGCGATCATCGAATGACGGTGATGATGACTATGATGATTTGTTTGAGGATAAACACATGTGTGAACACTAGTATGGGTTGACCATTCATATGCGTATACAACAACACCAATACCGATCACACCACATACGAGTTGCCAACAAACGATGCTCGTCGTCTTTCATTCTCTCCTTCTCACTCTGGAAGCGTAGATGGTTTTGTTTATACACTCTACATACACGGTGTCTCTCGACATACACACAGCCACACACACACACACACACACACACACACAACGAGTGAGACGGGCACGAAAGCGCGTGCGTCACACACATCAAACGCAAACCAAATAGATACACACAGTCGACCGTATAAAATAGAATTCAAAGGACTTGGGCAGTAGTAAAGCTATTGCATCAGTTGAGTAATGACACAATGTACAATCTACATATGGATGGAACGCGTTTATACTTTTTTTTGACATCAGACCGATGACATTTATATGTACACACACCGGTGCCATACAATCATAAACACAAATTATCGTTACACGTTTTTATGATTGCGACGAATCCATGACAAATAATTTTAAAAAAAATGCAATTAAAATCTCAGTTGTTAAAACAAGTGGCATTCATTACGCGGTAAATTTGCCACTTGACAGTCTGGGGAAAAGGGGGGGGAGAGAGAGAGAGAGAGAGAGAGAGAGAGAGCTCTCTCTAGAGAGGGAGAGTGGAGTAAACAGACAATTTCAAGCACTAACAATTCCACACTGATGATAACGATAACATGCTATCTGATGCCAAATATTTAAAACCTCATACGGTGTAAAGTGAAGTGTAAAATTTATACTATGTATTCAACAATTGTCGACAGCCGTTCAAATAAAACGTCACATATTTCTTTGGCAACTTTTAAACGCTTAAGTATCACATAAAAATAATTTCAGAGCAATTATACTCATCCATCGCCCTACCTTATCAGACGCATAAATATACGAAAATTTACAGTGTTGTCATTAGAACAAGGAAAAAAAGATTAATAGCCAAATTGTGTTTACCTACACTTCCGATCAACATAAAGTTTTCTTTATACTTTGTCCCAACGACTTTGGCATGAATGGTCGATCTGATTTTGGCATTTTCCCTGATGGACTTTTCTTTCTCTTTACGCACAAAAGAAAAAATCTTAAATTTCAACAAACCACCGAAAAATCCAATTATTTCCATTTTATCGAAGGGTTTTTAAGGTTCCATCGAAGATTTGGTTTGTCTTTTTCTTTCGCTCCATTTTTGTTTCAAAATTGACACAATAAATTTGTCAAATATCATTTATCGAAAATTAATTACATACATTACCCGGAACACTGCTCTTGTCGGTTGAGTGCTTAAAACCATCCAATCCACCTGTGTCTCTGTGTTTTGGTTAGGAGAAAAAAACCTTTTTTTTCTTCAAAAGAACCATGAAAACCAAATGTGGGATTTGAATGCCTTTAGAATATTAAAATGATGAAGTCGTTATCGAAGAGGCATGACAAAACTTACCATTTTATACCGTCATTCGGGGCAATTTTCAAAACGGTATCGTTTTGAGTTGAAAGAGGTGCGAATACTACTTACAGTTTTGCGATGCGCAATTGTTTCGATATGATTATGTCTGAAAAGATTTCCATTGGAAAATTTGTGATGCTTTTGCCGAATAATTTATTTATAAACAGCTTGATATTCATTTAAAGTTTTAAAGATTTTCATAAAAATTGAGCAATTTTGCCTCGACAAGATATAATAAGTTTTAAAGGAATTTCCCGAGCAACGCGCATCAACCACTGCACCATAATTTGATATTTCATCGTTTTATGCTACTGCCACTACTGTTGCTTAATTTTTCCTCCCTCTCTTTTTCTTTCTGTTCCTACATTTTTTTATTCTACACCAATGTGCATTACTCTCGAAACTTTTATATTGTTATGTTATTTGATCTCGATGCATATATATTTTGCGAAACATTAAAGTGGATTTTAACCAAATTTCAACTGAAAACTACGCACGCAACACGATGTCGAGCTCCGGACTTGTCCGAATATTCGTGTGGTGTTCGTCTGCCAAAGCGACGTCTTTTTTTTATAAATTCTGTGTCATGCATTTCATAGACTTGAGGAAACTTTTGCACGTGTCGGTCATTCTTTTTGAACTTTCAAATGATTTATGTGGAGTGGAACATATCCGAAGTTCGTTTCTTCTTTGTTATTGTTTCGGTTAATGCTTAAGCCAAAGTTCTGTACGGTTTACGGCCAATAACGAATTTTAAGAGTTGGAAAATGTTTTGACATTTGTGTAGAATCACATGTACACGACCGACTGAACTCCGAACACGAAACTGAAAGAAAACTAAAAGAAATTCGTTTCGAGAAACTAAAGCACATTAATACGGTATCGTGTTGTTCTGCTAGTAAAACTAAATGTATGGCAATTGAATATTTTTGGAGAGAGAGAGAAAAAAACACGCACATACACATACCCGATTCAAAATACTTCCACTGAGCAAACAATCGTTCTAAGTTTGTTGTTTCTCTCTCTGTCACACTCACTCACTCACTCGCTCTACCGTTTTTGCTCTATTTTAGTCGAATCATTCGTATCAGTTTGACAAAAAATAGCCGAATGTCATTCCATGGATTCCCAGACGTAAACAATCCTAAAACATCATTGAATTTCACTATATTGTGCGGCTGCTTTTTGCATTGCCCATGTCAAACGATGAGATTTAGATGAGGCCGCATTATTAATTTTGGTCACTGCCAATTTCGCCAAAAGTTCAATGTTTTCCATTTGGGAGAAAATAATTATACATTTATAGTACTGAATTTCTAGTTTCATTTATTAAATGGCTGAAATGAAATACTCGGTGGAGTTTGATTTCAGCGCAGCGAAAATACTTTACATTGATGTTTTAGCTTCATCGTTAATTAATTTCTTTTTTCACGGTTTTGGTCGATGTAAGAATAGAACAAACACAATACTTTTAATGCGGTTCCAAAGAATACCCTTTCCACCGGTTCCCCGGAATGATTATTTGTGGATCGCAGATAGCTGAAGCGTAATTAGAAGCAATTTTTCTCACTTTCATCTTTTATGCCGAAAGGACAATGACAGGAAACCCTCTTAGTTCTGAGCATCTTACCAAAGGGGGCGCCAACAGCTGTACATAGAAATTTCCATGAGAAAGCGCCCTCTTTGTCAAATATCTTGTTGTTGGTCAAGAAAAAGTGGTTATAGTTTCCTGTTATTGCGAAAGGGGGAAAAACGCAACCGAATAAATTAAAATGATATTAATGAAGAAAGCACAGAGAAAATAACGCAACAGCATAAAACAATTTCTCTGATCTATATAGTGACAAAAAAGGGATCACACAAAAAAAAATCGTTCTCAAATTTCGTGTACAGATGGACAGAATGGACATGAATAAAAAAAAACGACAGCAACAACAGTGACATGAAAGCAAAACAATGAAGGGGACACAGACCAAATGAATAATTAATGAGCACCATGATGATAATGATGATGGCGGCCAAATTTTGACTGAGTTGCAAAGTATTAATATAGTTTTGAGTTTAATTACCACATCATGGCTCAACACGATACAAAATTTTATGAAAATAGCCGAAAACTGGCCACTTTTTTACTCCTCCATCGATATGAATTTGAGATTTTTTTTTTGTTTTCAACCGAAACAATATTGCATGTGTCCTACGGAAATTAAAAAAAAAAAAGAAGAAAATCATGCTAATCGCGAAAAAATGGTCGTTTGTTTTCGCTCCCGTCCTCTCAGTCATTGGTAGGTAAAAAAAAGGAAGATGGAGAGAGAGAGAGAGAGAGAGAGAGAGAGAGGAACCAAGGGAAAAGTATCTGAGGCACGAGTTCTTATAACGACAATTACACACCAATTCGAACCTTTTCAATTTGATGCAATTTATTTCTAGAGTTAATTTGTTCACAAACATTCAAAATTGTTTAATTTTTCCGCTAAAAGTCTAGGTATCTAACTAGTATTATATAGTATGCATGTATGTATGTATGTATGTATATCTATGTATATGGGGTGAATGTTTCACTTCATTCAATTAGATGCTTTTACATATAGAAATTTGCCTTTGAAAATCGATTTGCCCATCTCATTTGCAATCAATGGCTGCTGAGCTGATGCCCGCCTCATTTTATTCCCTTCTTGCAACGCACCATCATTCGATATATCGGTACATGCAATGTCAATATACATATATATTTATTAATTTGAAAAGACACAAATGAACTGGTATTTACAATTAACAAGTGTTTTGTTTCTTTCTGTCTATCGTAATCATATATCATTAAATTAATCACCAATTACAATTGAATTTACTTGGTTATATTGTATATATTTATAGAACTCCGATCTCTCAGTGGAAATCCCTGAACAAAATAAACCTAATCAAAAGCTAATTGCTATCAACAAAGTAAACAATGGGTGCTCAACATATTTTATGTATCTCTCTCTCTCTCTCTCATGAATTTTGACAAAATTGTTGTTATTTTGCGAAAGATTCGCCACTCTGATTGGGGAAGAGTCTCGATCGTTTCGGCACAACCATGCAGAACAAAAACGATCAATCAAATGTTTCGCTTTTCTTGAAAACTTTCTTTAACTTCAGCATATTTGTCCTGGTGAATACCTTTGCGGTTATTTTATGTTGATCACCTAGCCTAGGATGCTACAAATTTCTTAGCTATGACATGACTATTTTTATTTTCATTTTCTATAATTTTCTAGTTTGATTAATTGTTATTTCTTTGTTTACAAAAAATGTACCTTTTTATGTAAAGAAAAGTGTATGATGAATGTCGTTGGTTTTCACATATTTATTTGATTGCGACCAGCCACAAATAAAAGACATTCGACTTTGTCTGTATGGAAATATCGGTGAAGGTTAAAACTTATGCATGATTCGTTGTTCGTCGAAATTCATGACCACACGCAAAACAAAACATCTTTGGAATGGAATTCAAATTGCTACAATTTATTTGATCTCGTGTATATGCGCTATTGCGAAATGAAGTGAATTGTCTACTAATGTTTTCGTTGCCTTAATTCATAATTTTATCCATTTTCACCGTTATGGCGGAATTTGGTATTTTGTTTTTCTTTTTCGTTCGCTCCTACTTTGCGTAAATGCGATGTGATTTTACACATGTTTAGGTCTTAATCTCATACACAAAATCTCAATTGCTGTAGGGCTCATTTCGTGGAACGCATGGCATATTTTCCGCTTTGACTTGCTATATATCCCAAAAACCAATATAATTCATGAACAATACACACACACACACATTGTTTTCGCCTCTTCTCTCTTGTCATCGACGTCATCGTCGTTGTTGTCGTCGTCGACGAAAGCAGCAATCCCTAGCGCTGAATTAGCACCTTTTCGAGGGAAAGACGTTTGCATTTTATGTCACAATTGAATCGCTGTAATTCGTATAAATCGGATGTCGAATGATGCGCGCTCACACACACACACACACATTCGTTTCTGTTATTTGAATGGTTATAATTTGAATTCAGCCAAATGAAACCAAACAAGTTCGACAACGATCTTATTTGGCCTGATAAACACACCGTAGTGTGTTGCAATTAAACAAATGAAAATTGGAAATGGTTTTGTTTGGGTGTCAATGAATCCATTGTACACGGTGATTATTTATTATGTCTATTCGGCGTGCGCTAAACATCAATATCCAAAAAACAAACGAACGTGCTTTCATTTCGCACTTGTCGTCGGGTTTTTTTATATGTGTATGTTTATGCACCTGCACCCGCTCATGTATACCGCATATACATACAATACATATAATGTGAGACGATGGGTGAGAAAGTGTTTTCGCCCATAAAATCAATTATTTCAACTGTTATGTTTAAATTTTAATCTTTCTACAAAATTTGCACTTGTCGCGATAAGCCAAGTGTCTATTATTTCACTATATATTTATATACGCTACACCTTTACCTGACACTACTATCTTAAGCTCATAATCTGTTGCGAAATAATTCCATTTTCCAAAATACACACACATATAAACAGAAGTGGAGAGTGATCTGTGTATAGTGGATATTTGCATTGTTTTTTTTGTTTATTTTCACTTTGATTCTCTAGTGTATTCGTAATTCGTAAGCAGCAAAGCGAAATGCGATGTTCAAATTGAAATTGCAAATCAATAAATGCATTTGGTTTTGGTGTACTTGTGGCTTTCTCACTGTTTTCCTTTTTCCACTCTCGGCGCACACATCACAAAGATGGTTGTTTCCGTTTGCGATGAGGTGATTCATTTTGTCGATTAAACACCAAAATCAATTTGGAAGTTTAAAACTTTTAAATATACTGCATTCATTCAATTAGTGTCGGCTTTTTGGAAATGAGGTCGATCCCAACTTTTTCACCACATCAAAAAAACACAGACATACACACACACTCACTCACAAGACTGCTGGAAATTTCTCGATGAATCCCTTTCAATTTCATAAATTGACTTATAAATTGGTTTGATACATACATATACGTAATTTGAAGATAAAATGAAAAACCAGACGCAATTACCAAATGCCATTTTAGCTGAAAACAATGAAATCGATTTTCGATTTCGATGAAATGGATCAAAAGAGAATAATATAATTGAAATTGCCAAAGGCATTTACATTGGATGATTCGACATAGCAGCGCAGTAAATTGAGAAGAAAATAAAAACTGGCACGAAATTTGACCAAGTGCATATAATGAAACATGTGTATTTTGGCGAAATAACATAACAAAGTATTGGATTACAATGTTTGAGCGAAAATGAATTAAGTGAGATTGGCACATAAACATGACTCCTTTCATAATAAATAATCATTCACATCTGCAGCATAAATTCCAATTAGTTGTATTTGGACAATTGAATCACAACCGAACAAAACTCCCATCCGAAAAAGAATGCCAGGATTTTACGCAAATGTTACACGTGAGCAAGAGTGAGCGGAGAGAATAAAAGAATCGGATTAAAATGATGTTAAACTGATTTGACACTGACCAGCACAAGTAGTATTTTCAATGGATCTAATTTACTGGTGTTTGCATAGCGTGTGCACATTCTGTGCACACAATGCACAGTGTATTTGAAGAGAGAGAGAGAGAGAGAGAGAGAGAGATAGATATGAGTGATTGACTAGGTTACACAGTTCTGTGTAAGCCGTTCACATTTTTCTGATTCACAACAGTTCGTAGCCGCTTGTGTAACGATGATCACATGCGGACACAATGGCTTGAAATTTTAATCGAATGAAACACGCTTTTGTGAGTTGATCCACGTCTCGTTGTTTTTAGTGGTGCCAATATTGTAGTCAAGTGTGTATTCAAAGTTCCAAAAGCTATTTGTTTTGTATGGTTTAGGATGAATTGGCAGCTTATTTTTATTTCACGTGTAAAAATTTCGTCCACTTTTTTTTTCGCTCTCCGTTTATCTGCTTGAGTGGTGCGTGTGTTTGTGTGGTGAAAATACACGAAAGATTTCAAGCGGTTTTGGTTCTTTCCCCTCTCCCTCTCTTTTTCACCCACCCACCTTTGATGTGGAACCATCTCGACTGCTATTTTCTACCGAACAAATAACCGGTATTTAAATGAAGGTTGTGGGCAATATCAGACATGGGCAAATATTATCATCAAACGTTCAATTTTTTTTTCTTATTGCATGTTCTAAAGCATGCATAGTATCACATCTTGAATGGCATTAGATAAATTTATCATGTGGAAAGCATCTTAATCAACAGTGGAATGCTTCGTATACTAATACATGTATTTGGTTGGAACTCGGTTGAGCGAAGCGCCATCTAAAGAAATGATTGTGAGTTCGTGATGTATGTATGTTATACTTCAGTATGACGTTTGACAGAACGGAGAGTTTACTTGATTGTATTGTCATTGGCCTTAGATTATCTAGGTGGTGTTTGCGCTCAATATCAGTTGTCAAATTCAAAGTGAATTGGAGAGTTGATCTTAATACCTCGCCCGATGATTGTTTTCGTCCCATTTTCGATGACAAAATCGACGATAATAATCGCACGATTTATAAACATTTTCAGCATTTTGTAACACGATACGAACTAGCAAAATGTTTGTTCGATCCATTCATCCATCCATCCATCGATTTTGGCTTGTCCATGATTCCTCATAGTGATGGAGTGCTTTTTGTGCTCGTCTAGTGGCAAACATTTTTTTTAGGACATACAAAAGAGCGCATATCGCGATACGCGCAACCGCTTGTCACAAAACTGAGTACTGTGTCTAATTTCAGTTTGATAAGGGATGTTTCAAGCATTTTTTTTGTCATTTTCAAATGTTTTTATAATAACGTTGGTTTGCCCATGTCTGAGCTCCGCTCTGTGTGGGAATCTAAAGCGTTCGATTCTTTTGTGTGTGCGTATATATATATATATGTGTGTGTGTGTGTAATATTATAAAAACGTGTTTTGTGGACGCATTTGTTTTCCAAATAACAGAATAATCTCCCTGAAAAGTGGCTCATGCTCGAGTAGCATCACACAAACTTTGCACATGAATAATTGATATTAATAATTCAAACGGTGTATTAGCCGAATCAAGAAAAAATGATGTTAATCAGCGTTGACGATGATGACGACAGTGACAACAGCATGATTAGCGGAGAATTATCGCTTGATTGACATTGCATTACTTGAGTACGGCGCTTTAGTTGAGCTTTCGAAAAATCGTCGAAAAGTGAGCCGCCAAAAAGCTGCACGAAAATCAACACTATAAAATGCATAAATAAACGGATTCATAGCGCTATTGAACCACCCCAACCAAGTTAAAATTGCGCTCAATGTTTTGCTCACAGGCACAAACGGTGCCACGATATATGCTATGAAAAAGGGAAGCCAGCACACAATGAAGCCCCCCACTACAATTGACAAAGTTTGAGTGGTTTTATTTTCACGTTTCAGTGATAGAATGCGATTCGAGAGAGATTTGTGATGGATGCGCGTATTTTGTTTCATCGTGGCCGTGTGTGGATGTTGACGCTGTAATTCATATAAAACGGTATTGTTTTGCTTAACGCTATACTGTACGGGTTGTGTAAACTTTGACCAATGGTCATTAACCGTTGCTGTTGTTGCTGTTGTTGCTGTTGATGATGCATTGTGCGATTTGGGTTTGGTGCGTTTTTGTGAAATTGACCGAATTGAAAAGTCGTCCTGGTCGTAGTGGCCGTTATTCTGTTGTTGCGATTGTTCTTGCTGCTGGGATTGTCGCTCTTGTAATTGTAAAATGTTTTTGCCAATCTCCATACGGGACTCTTTCAAATCCATTGATATATTACTTCGCGATGTTTGATGAAATGAATGCTGCTTTTTTCGGTATGGGCTGTGCAAATCCTGTTCGGATGATGGCTCAAGATCGACTTCTGGTTCAACTTCCACATCAAAGTGTTTGTTGTGCTTCTGTTTCGGAATGAATAAATGAATCGAACGGGGAAAATGGAAAATCGTCCAAAAGACAAATTTTTATCGATTGTTTTTAATCTGGGCTGATAATTACCTTGTGAACCTCGATTTCCGTCATGTGATCATGCCGTGCGGCGACGACACATGAAATTCGCGCATACACGTACACCATCACGGCCATCGGAATGAAAAATGAGCCCATTGCCGAAAAGACAACATAACCTTCATTCTGATTATATCCGCACTCATCATGCTTTTCGGCTCGTTGATGATCGTACCTGAAATTATTTCGAAATTTTCCATTTTTATGCTTGGATTAATATAATTTTTTGGTAACGCAACGCATTTTGAGCGAGATGAGTGAGCCAGTGGGTGAAGATATGAACGAGAGAACAGAGCATGCCGATGATGAACTATGCCTTACAATAAATATACTCACATGCCTAATCCCAGAATCGGTGGGCAAGTAATTGCCAACGCTAACGTCCAAACAATTAGAATCATTAGCAATGCGAGCCGTTTGGAGCGTCGCCTTCTCGAATAATTTAACGGTTGAGTAACTGCCAAATATCTGGAACAATCAATCGAAATTTGCGTGTTGTGAAAACAGAATTGTGTGCCAACCGCATCGCAACAACCACCTTCCGAATACTACATATACACGAAATGTTTTACCTGTCTATGCTAATTGCACACAAGCTCAAAATTGACGCCGTACATAATAGCACATCTAACGATATCCAAATATTGCAAAACACCCAGCCAAGTTGCCATGATCCTACGAAAAGAGAAGACAAAAATCAACACATCAAATTGATATTTGTGAAAAACAAATATTTAACCAGTTTCAGTTTCAGTTTCAGTTTCAGTTTCTATGTTTATTAATTGGCTGACGTTCAATTTTCCCAAAATCTGAAATGTATGATTTGATTATTAGCTTTGTTTTGTAAACAGACGATCCGTACATGCGTGAATCCCCACAAATCTCGTCATCACTCAAATGAGAGTAAATTAGGTTCATTTTATGCAGTGTGTATTGTATACACACATTCAGTCATCAAAGGTTTCGTTAGGTTTCTGGTTTTTCTCTCTCCCCCCTCCCTCTCTCTCTCTCTCTCTCTCTCTCTCTCATTTTTTCTTCTTTCTTTTGATTGCAATTTCCAGAAGACTTCTAATGCGTGGGAAATATTTTTTACATTTTCCATTCATGTACCTCTCTTAGGCACAAGGGATTTGGGCAATATTTACTTGAATACCATACATTGAATTGCCAGCTTAAAATATCAATGACGCTTCGAATTTTTCCCAACAGCCAAATGTAAACATAGACAGCAAAAAAACAGAAAAAAAATTAATTTTCAACTAATTTTTTGGTTTATGTATCTCATTTTCATTGCATTTTATTCGCACGAAAAACGCATAGAAAACATTAAATGGCACCGGCAAGTGGAATAAAAAACAATAATTGGAAAATATGGCAAAAAACTTTTTTTTAAAAAGTGTCACACAAGCTTTTCATCTACGGTCTCTACACCGATGCCACAACGAACAAAAACATTTTCTTTGTTATTTATTCGTTTCACCGCAAAAAAGTCAAATCACAATATAATGCAGAGCACTCCATGTCTGCATAACCTTCCATCAATGCGAATAAATCAAATTACATAAATTCAATTCTTAACAATTCTTAATTGAGTTCGTTATGTATGCATGATGCATCGCATATATTTCTCGTTTCGTTGCGACTTTCTCTCGCTTGCTTGATTATTTGTATTCTCGTTGTTATAGTTGCTATTGCCTTTTTTCTCTCTATTTTCGCTTTCTCTCTCTTCCTCTCTCACACACATGGACACCAGTAAAACTAGTCATCCCATATAATAAAGAGATATAGCGATAAGTGAAAATTGTCAAGGACCTTCCCCCAAAAAAAGACCCCGTAATTCCAATTGAAAGCACACTATTTCCAATAGCAATTGCATTTTCTCCACCGGAGATTCGTACAATAATCTTTCGATTCTAAAGAACATTTTACTGTGATCGGATTGGAGCGACCCGATTATAAAATAGCCAATTTTATGGAACGTTTACTGGTTGGCAACACACTCACATACACACGCATGGCATTTTCCGAATGAAATTTAAGTCTTACTATAGTTGTTGTGGTTTTTAATAGATGGTTGTGATTGTATCGTATGCCGTCTCTCTTATGCGACTTTGTACTTTCCACATGTGCAACTTTGATTCATAGTACCTGGAAGTAACTGTGGATATGGTAAATATATAGGATTGTCTGTGTATGTGTATGTGTGGCTTTTTCGTCTTCCTTGCCTTTTCTTCTCTTGTTTTTGGATCTTTTCTACTACGTTATTTTCCATTTATGCTGTGTATCTCTTGTAGTTTCCATGTGATACATACGCATATACACATCAATGGTGCGCATCCAAAATGTATTCAATTGGATTCGTGTGCAACAGAAGCGTATTAGGTTAACTAAAATCAAAATATTACATTCAAACGAAAACAAAGATAGAATCTTTTGAAGAGCAACGCACATCAATCACTAGACTTGCTCTTTTACTATTTCTAGAGGGCATTTTCTCTTTCTCTCCCTCTATCGCTCTTTCTAACTGCAGTGTCGTAAACTTTTGCGAAGAGCACTTCCCTTTGAGGTGCTTTTGGAGAGCGAACAAAGTTTACTATTATGTTCAATATTTTTTAGTGGCATTTCGAGTATAATTCGTTTAGTTTGCCGAGGCATAATTCTGTAAACACAGTCTTGGCCATTCAGACCAAGGGGCGAATTTCTAGTGAAAACCGATTTTCAGTACTTTTCAGCACCTGCGATCGATTTTCAGTAGCGGTTCAGTTTTTTCAATACCTAGTAAATATATTACTTTTATTGCAGTTCAGTATTGTCAAAATTTCTTGACACTTGTGTTTAATGTTTGTTTTCTAGCATTTAAAATGGAAATTGAACGTATTTTATCAAAAATAAAGTCCACTCATATTTTAATTAGAAAAGTCTAAAGACACAATAAAGAAGCTGACATCAGAAAAGAGTGATTTATGTCGAAAATATATGTCTGGCAATTTTCGTCGAATGAAAATTTCTATGACATTGATGTGTGTGTATCATCAACTCTTTGAAATGTCAGTGCATCTCTGAAACCACGAAGACTAAAACCAAACAAAACAAGAATGGATTTTTTACACAAATGTTTCTCGGCGTATTTTTATTTCCAAACTACTGAATGCCGTATTTTTATAGTTTGGCACTTTTGTAGACAAATCTTTTTCAATTTTTTTTTTCCAAAATTCACCTAAATATCAATTTTTGAACTGTATGACGTTAATGATATAAGTCAAGTGTCATAGTCTAGACGTATTCAATGCATAAACTGACACTGAAGTACTGAAAACCGGTTTTCAGTACTTTTCAGTATCAAGAAAAAAAAATTCAGTGGTTTTCAGTACTTACAATCAATTCAGTAGTGATTCGCCCCTTGATTCAGACAGTCTATCGTAACCAATTCAAAGTTTGTGTACCGCTTGTACACACACATACTCCAAACTTATTTCAATGGCCACAAAAATCAGATGTAAGCATGAAATATTAAATTAAAATCTTTTTCATATATATGTGTATAAACTTTTTTTTCACTCTTCATTGAAAAAGAAAATAAAAAAACTCATGAAAAAATCATTCAATGAACGAATGACACATTTCTTAAAAACATTTTGTACAATGTGAACCATTTATGTGAAACATTGGGCCGTTGAATTACTTTTTGTTTGTTTGTTTTATTACCCCGATGAATATCATGAGAGACATTTGGTTCACTTTTTTCTCCCCGATTGTTGTCGAAAATTTTCCGGCCGAAAACGATTCGTCTATGAGTTAAAGGCATTAAAACTTTCATTGTAGATTCGGGATTGGGGTGACTTTTTTTTCTTCTATATTTCATATAGAATTGGGCTGTCCATTGTTACTGACGGACTAGAAAAGTGGCTTTTGTCTAAATCACTTCAATGGCAATTGAAAGGCAAATCCAAATGAAAATTCATTCATGACATAAAATAACAATCAGAATAAAAGAAAAGACAAGACAAGACGAAGGTCAAGGAGGAATACGAACAAGAGACAAGACAACTGAATGTCTACTGAAATTTCGGATACTTTACGACACATTTTTGAAACTCTGATTCGGGATGCCGACAATGAAAAGAATTTTGTTATCTAATTACATTGCGATAAATATATCAAATCCAAGCTTACCTAATATGGTGACAGTTGACAAAAGACAGGCAATTGCAAAGAATGAAACATTAACAAAAAAACTATATTATATTTCATGTGAAGAGGATGTATAATGAAACCGGCCACAAGTATAAAACACATCTGCCGTCGGGGTTTCCGCTTACTAACGCTGCCGACACATATTCAGTGTTGTTTCATGTTAATAAAAAGCTTATTTAACGTTCATCCATTCGGGTATTCCTTAATAAATCGGTCAATTTAATGCATTGCGTGCACTATACACGCTAGCACGTTCAATCTAACAAATCGATCACTTGACTCTTTTATTACCATTTATCTCGAGGGAGAGGTGTGTGGATCGTATAATACAAAGAAAAATGTAGGTAAATTAGATTGATGAAGTTTTGTATCACGATGAAATTACCACCTATTGTTGCGCGGCTTATTTACAATCTCAATACTTCCATTTGGTTCGACATTTACATGCTAATAACCCGAATAAAAGAATACTGCCAAAAATTGCCGCCACCAAATGCCAACCAACTCTCGAAAAGCATTAAGTGATTTGATAACAGGGTGCACGAATTTCAGCAATGAATGCATTGCTGTGGCAACAGTTCAAGTGAGCAAAAATTATTCAGAAGAATGAAGATAGAGATAGGGAGACGAAGGGAAGGTGGTTGGAAGAGAGAGAGAGAGAGAGAGATCGTAAAACTTTTCCAATGAATTTATGTACGACTGGAAAAAGCACATGTCAAACGAACCGTTGTTGTATGTGAATGATAAATATTATGTATGTGTATGGATATAGACACAATCATAATATAGAGTTTGATGGAATTCTTACCCGAGACTTTCAATATGCTACAACCTATCCAAATTATGAATAGTGTAATTTCTTTTTCAAGCGTAAGAATAACTGACATTCATGGGGTAATTTAAGCAATTTTCCAACCAAACACACCAGTTTATTTTCACTGTGGTATGGATTTTAATACTAAGACAGCACGTAAATCAACTCAAAAAGATCCGTAAATTGCATACCAAAACGTAAATTCCATATTGTAGGATATTGTATGCTCTGAATGCACCGTCACTCTCTGTCTCTCTTTCTCTTTCTCACACTCCCCGAACTTGTTAAACCATTAAAGTGAAACGAGATGATAAAATGCCGCATGCCCTGGTTTCGTGAAAAATATTATACACTTTAAATTCACACACACACACACACACACACACACACACACACAGAGAGAGAGAGAGAGAGAGAGAGAGAGAGGGAGAGAGAGAGAGAGAGAAAGAGAGAGAGAGAGAGAGAGAGAAAGAGAGAGAGAGAGAGAGAGAGAGAGATATTAAAGTAAATACACACAGCTCGAATTGCAATGAAATGCTCAACATAATTCGTAGAAGCTTTTATTACTAGTAATAACATTACTGAAGATATTAAGAGAATGGCATTTTCTGGTGAATCTCTCTCTCTCTCACACTCCCTCTCTCTTTTGTCCATGCGTAAAAAATTC